CCAGTTTCACAAGCCGGTGAACTAGGTATGCCTTGTTCCTGGGAGTTTTCTTCTGAATCATGGACTCTAATTTCATCAATAACTCGTATGCATTCCTGGACTCAGACATGTGCTCAAAGAGACTTTTATCAACATATTTCCTGATCATGGCCACGACCTTTCGATTCCAAGATCTCTCTTCCCTCTCGTTCTTTCCTTGAGGTCTTGTTGCATTCAAGATGGGTTCATACATGTCTTTGCAGTATAAATGGTCTTCCATCATAGGTCTCCAGTATGTGAAGTTGTCTGTAGTCAACTTGAGCATGTCTCTGTCATGTGAAATTCCACTGGTCTCCATCTCGTCTCCTTCAGAACCCTTTGAATCAGGGCTCTGATACCACTATTGGGAACTTGGTTCCCTCAATTCGACACGGAAGCGTGTCGCAAGTCAAACATTGAGCTCGGAGCTCATCAATCACAATCATAGGTCAGCCTAAGTCACCAGGTCGATCAACACAGCGAAAGTAAGAAAATGTGCAAAGGAGAGAGATAGAGAAAAACACAGTCAAGTTATTTAATTTGGGAAAAACCTTCTTCAATGTGAAGAAGTAAAAACTCACAGGACACTTGTCCAGAATCAAACTTCCACTATGTAAATAATAGGTTACAAATGATCAAACTTCACCAACAAATGGTGGTACACTCAAACTTCCCTAAGGAGGTCTAATGTAACATCCCAAGGGCAGGGAGTGACCGCCGGTGTAAAAGAGGCACGAACAATAAGCGGCTCATGCCAAATCTTGCAGCTGGGGGTACATGAATGAATCGAGTCAACACCCGAAAGATAGGGATTCCAGAGACTGTGCAGGTATAGGACTGTACAGTTCAGGATAGCTTATAAGAATTAATTGGTACAACCGATACTAACAAGATGCATCTATTTTTCGGTAGTCCAGAACAGAAGAACTTCATAGTTAAGTGTTCTTGACTTGGAACAATTCTAGGATGAGTGACCTCCTTCCACTTTCTCAGGAAGTGTGCGAGTGAAGACAGAGCATTACATTTAACAAGGCCGAGCGTTACATTTAACATTCAAGTTTCTACCTAAAAGTGCTCTAAAGTATATTTATGGAATCGCTTACGGGCATGATTTAAATAGATCCATTTTTTTATTTGAAGAATAATGTTTCAGAGGGTATCTTGAAGTCAATAGCGGTTGATAGCATAGCTCTAAGTTTTTCTTCTTATATCTCCTTTAATTGAACTCCTAAACTATTTTTTATTTTTTTGGTAAGATACCCTCTTCTAATTAAACAAATTTAGAGTGTTGTTTCACGATGAAGTGCTTCTTTGACTCAAGCTTCAAATGTTCTCGTAAAGAGAGAAATATTTATAACCAATTAGGCAATAATTTCAATTACAAAGAATACTTAAATGGTATTTATAACTCGAAGATAATAAAAATCTATATATATATATATATATATATATATATATATATATATATATATGGAAAATGATCTGTTTACAAATTTTTGCAAATTACACTATGTACACTGGAAGTATATAGTGTAACCTATAATATAGTTTGTAAACAAAATTTTTGTAAATATAGCTCTATCCTATATATATAATTTTTTTTAAACTACATATCTTATTAAAGATAGATTTGAAAAAGTAAAAATATCAATATCTTAAATAACATAATTATCATCGAATTGATTAATTAAAAATAAATCAAATTATCCTAATATATAAAATATCAAACAACCCTGCATATTCCTGCTGGATATTCTGTGATAAAGAAAGCAATGAATTTTGTGCTCCATAAGACCACTCAAAGTGCCTCATCCTTCTACATATCGTTGAGTCTGTCTGCCAACAGTAGTGACCAAGCCTAATTGTCGGGAAATTCTAAAGAAACAAATAATTTTAGAGGAAGATATGATTATAACATTTTTTTTTCCTTACAATCTTTTACTATCGTTTAATCAAAATTAAAATAACCATTACAAAATGAAAAAGAAGAAGTTGCAAATATAACCATAGCAAGGTGGGTGTAAGAAATTGTATGAAAAAGAAGAAGAAGTTGCAAATATAACCTATCTCATTATTCTAATAATGTTTATTAAATGGGGATTATTAAGATGCACATAAAATAAATCTTCCCAATAAAAGAGAAAGCAAAGATGCAAAGCTACGCAGTGGTGGAATGATTTGAAAATCAGCTTTTGTTAAAAAAATAAAGCAGACACTTGATAATTTTTTTATTTTGATAAATAAAAAAAGGGAAAAATATTTCTCCAGTCACCGGAGATAAAGTTATTTCCAGTGAGCTCAAAACAACGTCATTCTGAAGTTATAAGATTAAAATATTATAATGATAAAGACTAATATAACCCTGCAATATATTAGAATTACAAAAATATTTTGATTTCCGCCCCAAAACGACGTCGTGAATATATTAGAATTACAAAAACATCTTGATTTTCGCCCCAGAACGACGTCGTTTAAGGCTCACCGAAGATAATTTATTTTCATTGACTAGAGAAATTTTTTACCCATAAAAAAAGCGAGTTCACTTTTCTACAGTCAATGTAGATAACTTATTTACATTGAGCCCAAAACGGCGTCGTTTTGAGGGGAAAATCAAAGTATTTTTGTAATTATAATTTATTTTAGGGTTATAATAGTCTTTTTCATCATAATTTTTAATTTTTCAACCTAAAACGACGTAGTTTTGAGAGCGAATGTAGATAATTTATATACATTCACTGTAGAAACATTAAAGCAAAAAAAACACACATTTGATAAATTAGTTTTGGAAAAAATATTTCTGCAGTTACTGCAGATAAGTTATCTGTATTTATTCCCAAAATGACAATCTTTTGTATTGAAATCTTAAAAAATTATAAATATAAAAATTATTATAACTCTGAAATAAATTAAAATTTAAAAAACGCTATGATTTCTGCCTCAAAACAACGTCGTATTAGGCTTACTGCAGATAACTTATGCAACTGCAGAAAAGTGAACCAATTAGTTTTACATCTTAAACTTTTGCCTAACTAGACAAAAAAAAAATCAATTAATTCCTAAAAGTTAACTGTGATTCTCGAATTGACCTCGTATTTATTGGAATGTACTAAGGTACAACATGTGCACTTGAAAATAATTTTACCGTATTGTGGCCTTTTCTGGCTTTAAAATTATTTAGAGTTATATAGGCTGTGCCTAGCTAAAAAAAATTCAATCAATGACTTTCTTTTATCAATGAAACAACAAATATTCTTTTCAACTTTTTGGCATCCCAATCGATCCATCTAATTAATCTGGTTTAAGTATTGTCAAATTTATATAGAAATGGCTCTTATAACACCATTTTCTCTATTTACATTATACGAATTTGAAACCTTTGGTTATTGGTTGATTACCTCTCTTCTTTAGTAAGAGTGAAAGTATGCTTCTTATAATTAGAAAAATATTTATAATGTCACGGGAGTATCGAGCAGTGGGTACATCGATCATTTATTAAATATAACCAAAAAATAATTTATTTACATTACTTTTATTTTTATAATTATTTTTACTCATTCCATTTTTATTTTTTTTATAGTAATGGAATAGGTACTTCGGTAGCATCGAAAATATGCTCACTTATTTGATGTCTACATATTCACCACTACATATCTCTCGTTTGGTTGCAACGCCAAAATGCTTATTAACATGACTAAAAAAGAAAACTTACCGTGCAAATTTACCGTACACACACACACACTCTTTAATAGGTTAATTTGTGGCTAACCAATAAAACCTGTGCTTGTACTTGTTGTCACCATCCATCAAATTAGTAAGCCAATTATTGCGGATGACATTGTAGGCGCAATTCTGATAAGCGGAAACGATAAGACCATTTGTGGTTTGGAATGTGTTAAATCATCATTGTTTCGGTTTCACATAAAATTATCTCTCGAAGTGCAGATCAAATGTGATTTCCTTTACGAAGATGTGGGTTAACAAACTGGCTTGATGATCAGCAACAATCTCTTTGTTGAAGCTAGCGTAGACTTTTCAAACTATCTCTCAAGAGAAAAGAGGATGATGTGTGGATATCTTTTCAGATCTGAACTTACGTCTAGTTGACTGACCAGCATGCTAATAACTTAATGGTAATATATATATATATATATATATATATATATATATATATATATATATATAGGTATCAAGAAACTTTAACCTAAGCTCTTTGATTTTTAGATTTTTTTAGAGAAAAATTTTGGTGCACCAAGAGTACAGAATTCGCTTTTTACTAAAAAGCGAGTAAGACTCAAAGGAAATATAAACAAAAAAAAAAAATAGGTTAAAAAAAGGAAGAAAAAAATTCCTTTTTAAGATCCAATAATATCGGTCCAGAACATTTTCAAATAAAGTAAAGTATAGTTATGCACTAGAGGCACACAAAGTCACAAAGATAACACTCAGATAGTTTTGATCAAGTAGTTATGCAGCATTTTCCATTAGAACTGTAGGTCATGAGAAACGTGGGGGAATAGGTAGGGACCATGAGAATGACAAAACATAGTTCCCATCATGAACCAATAAGTCGAGAAGGCTTCGATCAATTGCTATCATGAGTTAACAGAATGAAACTCTAACTGACATCCGCTAATTAGTTATGTCTCGGTTTGTGCTCTTTTATTTAAGCCTAATTGGATTAAGAATACGAGAAGAGCCCAAGAAATTAAGAAAAACTTTGGTGCACGGGAGCATCGAATGCCTGGCCTAATTCCTTTGGTTCCTAGCTCAATCTCTTTGCGCATTACCACATATATAATGATTATTCATATATATCAAATAATATTTTTTAGAAAATATTTTATGATCCATATCTTATTCTAAGTCTTCTCTTTTATCCCACCACCCTCCACTTTCTTCTCTTCCTACTATAAATGCATGCCATGAAAATATTTAAATTGCAATGCAGTGGACGAGAGGATCACATACATAAAGTCTCTATAATGAGGGTTTCTATCAGAGCAACGACAATCCAACCATGTGCACCATCCTCTTCTTCTAAACCTAACCCTACTTTCTCACCCCCTGAATCCAACACAATCTCACCATTCAACAAGTCTTTGTTATCATGGAGTGTTCTCAACCCTCACTCAGCAAAATGCAACTATCCCAAACTCGGCAACAAGTGGAAGCAATACCAAGGAATCAACCATTGGGAAGGTTTGCTTGATCCTCTTGATGATAACCTACGCTTTGAAATCTTAAGATATGGTCACTTTGTAGATGCTGCTTATCGATCTTTTGACTTTGACCCTTCATCTTCTACTTATGCCACGTGTCTTTACTCGAAGAACTCGCTTTTGACACGTTGCAGCATGGCAAATTATGGATATCGATTAACCAAAAATTTACATGCCACGTGTGGAATTTGCATGCCAGCATGGATAAGCAAAGTGTTCAAGTGGACATGTACTCAGTCTAGTTGGATTGGTTACGTTGCAATTTGTGAGAACAAGAAAGAAATTACTCGCCTTGGAAGACGTGACGTGGTGATTGCTTTTAGGGGAACAGCCACGTGTTTAGAGTGGTTGGAAAATCTACGCGCCACCTTAACTTATTTACCGGATCATGTGACAGCGGAGGAAGGTGGTGGTGCCATGGTGGAAAAAGGGTTTTTGAGCTTATACACTTCCAAAACCACCACATGCGCTAGTTTGCAAGAAGTGGTAAGAGAAGAGATTGGGAGAGTGATCAAAACTTACAAGAACGAGCCACTCAGCATAACCCTCACGGGTCATAGCCTTGGAGCCGCACTCGCGATCCTCAGCGCGTATGATATAACCGCTACGTTCAAGAAAGCACCAATGGTGACGGTTGTTTCTTTTGGTGGGCCGCGCGTGGGGAACGAGAGCTTCAGGAAACGATTGGAGCAAAGTGGGACCAGGATACTGAGAATTGTGAATTCGGATGATGTGGTGCCGAAAGTTCCTGGGTTCGTGGTTAATAATGATGACGTGGCAATCAAAGGAGATGTTCACATCAGAGGCTTGTCCGGCTGGTTGCAGAGGCGCGTGGAGGACATGCAATTCGTCTATGCTGATATTGGAGAAGAGTTGAGGCTAAGCAACAAGGAGAAGATAAATGTTGCCACGTGTCACGATCTCAAGACGTACCTTCATTTGGTGAAAAGTTTTGTAAGCTCGTCGTGTAGGAAAAAGAGTAAAATATCTTAACAATTTTTTTTTTTTGGGTATCATGTAAGGGGTAAAAACACTCCAAAAACAGGCTAGAAAGGATAAATATAACGAGTTTTATCAAAATCATGTAAATCAGCTAAGTACGAAAAGAAAATACAAGGAAGGAGAGATGAAAAAATATAAAAGTCCTCTTGATCCGGATTCACCAAAGGAAAGTTTGACAGTCAATCCGCACAACAGTTTTCTTCTCTAGACGTGTGTTTTATTATTACTGACTACTCTCTATTCATTCATGCCCGTATACGAGTAACAAGATGAGACTAATGCCGACTCACCCCTTGCACCAATAAGCCACATGACTGCTGTTAAAGAGTCACTTTCTATTACTAACTTTCTTCAACCATTTTCTCAAGTCATTTGTATTTCTTTTAAAATGCTCCATAATTCCGCCATAATAGCACTAAGTTTTAAAATATCATAACATTTAACCACAAACTTAGCTTCAATTTTTGTTTTGTTTTTTTAAATTTTTTAACTTTCTGAACATAAGGTGGGGTTTTACTGCTTGATTAATATTGAATGATTGGATCGGATATGGTTTAGATTGTTGAGAAATTCTCCTCAAAGTTTAAGTAAATGTACATGAATAGTTATATATTATATTTTTAATTATGATGAAAACTTTATCTTAGACTTATATTACTTCTCTAACATTATTAAGTGGGAAAATTGGGATATGATACTTGCACAAATGTACTATGGATTCACAATAAATTCTGGATTCAAACTGACTCGGTTATACAAGCTTAACTATAATTTGTGTCTTGGGTAATTAGTTTTACTAGTGAATCTGATCTAATAAGCACTCATATCTTTAGTTTTACATACATCAACTTAAAAAAGATGATTGTAAAAGTTATATAGTCCAAAATATGGAGTAGTTCTTTTATAAATATTCTACTCTCATTCATTTTTGTGGAACATTTATATTACTCTCTCTCTCATATGTCCCAATAATGAAGATTTGAAGAGTGAGGAAACGCGTTCATCTTGTGTATAGGTCATCGCGCAGACATACAACTATGATAGCAACAATTCAGAGTTCCCAAGCCTCCTCAACAACAGATACATTATTTCAACTATGCCTAAGGGGCATAGCCCACAAATAGGCATCTCACACACATGATAGGATACAAAAACTACTTGAGTCCACCAATGAAAATAAATGTCATCACCATATAAAGAAGGCTCAAAGAACATTACGTATGATCATCTTTTACATTATAACTTAAGTTCATTGATCAAACATTGACTTGAGCGTTGAAGTGTCTTATGGATTTTTTTCCCATTTGTCCTAGCTAAGCACACCTCTCTGGCACCAACACAACCTTCCTGCAGGAGTATCCCTCGATCCATTGCAAACTCATCTCATATTCCAACTAGACCAAGCTCAACCACGTGTAGTCAAACTCAACAACTCTTGGACTGATCAATATGTTTCAAACAGATATTTTTGTGTGTATAAAGAATAAAAATCACAATAATGGGGAGAGATATTTTAACTCTGGTATAAGAATAAGAAGTCTTACCCTCCATCTTAATTCTTGATTTTAATGCATTTAGCGGTTAAATAATTTATTGAATTATGTCCATTAATTAATTAGTAATCCCTAATAAATTACAACGGTCGATGCACAAAAATTAACGGTTGGGATGACTAGTAATATCTTGTTATTCTTATTCCGAAGTCAAAGCATCTCTCCCTCACAAAAATGTTAATGACTCATACTACCAACTTTATGTATCTGTCATTCTTCTTTCTTTCTTTCTTTTGGGTTATTTTTCATCAAAATATCTCCACATGCATTATGGTAAGATTAATCTTTTGAATACCACATGTGTTATGTAATTGCTCATAACAATGACTAGGTTTGAAGAATTGAGAAAAAAGTTTGCACCCTTTTTTGATGCTGAAGCGCCATTGAAGAGAGAGAAAAAGTGTGGGAGGAAGTGGGAGAGAGAAAGGCATAAAAAAGTTTATTTTATATCGTAAATTTTCACTGTTGGATGAGATTGTAATCTAACTATGTTGAAAGTGGCAGGCAAAGGTAGACAAAATAAGGATAGACAAAATAACATATCTCATATATTAAACACATTTTTATTATTAACTAAAATATCGAATTATGACATTATTTTATTTAGATAATAAAATATTTTACGTCGTTAATGTATCAAAATCATATCAAAATCAAACTCATCATGCTATTTACTTTAACACTGGTAAGTTTTTCAGAGTTTATGTGCATTAACGTAAACTATGGGATTTATTCTGTATTTCTATTATAGCGTATCGTTTTATCATATCTATAACAAGGCCCATCACACAAGATTATGATAATAGTTTCATCACCAGCTTACTTACCCTGTGTTAAAATTCCGTATATTATTAAAAGAATGGGAGTGGCAAAGAACAAACTCTTAACTGTTTGGTCGTAGAAGCTGTGATATCATGTTATGAACCAAGAGGGAGGATATTTTGACTACCAAAAGTTTTCACTACCACCTTACTACCTATCTAATCACCATTGGATTAACATTTTCTCTCTCTTCAAAAACTTTTTAACATTTCCTCTCTTTGATCCAATGGTGATTTGATAGGTAGTAAGGTAGTAGTGGACACTTTTGGTAGTCAAAATATCCCCTCTCATGAACCAATGTTATAAATTTCAATTTTTTTTTTGAAATTATCAATTAGAATATAAATAATTTTACTTGATGTTTCTTATTGTTTCTAGTTTCATAAAAACACTTTCAGCCATTTATTAAAAAAAAAAAACATCTAAACGCATATATAACTCTCTCTTTTTAGTTTTTTATGGAATGAATAATATGGGAGTAGATTAGAGCAATCAACATTGCTTGTTAAAACGAAAGTATGTGGAAATAAGCTCAACTAGCTTAAGATTTTTGAATAAGGCTTAGCACTCCAAAGTATGTGGATTTAAATTGCTTCTTATTGAATATGCTTGATGATCTTTCCTTTTTGGGGGGAGAGGATATTCTCTACCACTTAGAAGCTATATTTAAGTAACTTTTGTATGAGGAAAAATCCTTTGAGTGGTGACCTTAGGCTCTTATACATGTCATTATGACGTCCTGACTAGCAATATTACAATGACATTATTATTTTCTTTTCAAAAAAGTGCTTCTTATAAAGAATATATATATATATATATATATATATATATATATATATATATATATATATATATATATATATTTGAAAGTGCTCATAATGGAATGTGGGTAGCCCCAAAAATAGTAGCAATGAAAAACCACTAACAATGGAAGGCAAAATGTAAGGACACGTTTTTGATGTTACACCACAAGAGGACAACACTCCTCTTCAAAGGGTTGCATATTGAAATATTCAAGAAACAGAACTATGTGGAGCATGCCACTATTAAACTATTAATCGATGGCCTTGAAAACGAAGTGGTTCAACTTTGTTGCATAAAAAGGGTTTTAGTGGCATCAATATTGTACTCTATTCCATTGTGCATTCTTCTCTTCGATCACTCTCATAGTGTTATGGACTGGCCACTTCAATTTCGAAAAAAGATTTTGCAAACAAATATGTGCATATGAGATGACGTGCAAAAAAGCTCATCGAAATTGTAGTTTTTTTTTAATTTCTGAATAATTACTTTATAAAAAATGGACTCTTACACTTCATGAATAGCTTTGTTTAGAATATACTTTTAATTAATCTATCTGTTAAACTATATGATATTATTTTGATTACGATAGATATACAGTTTTTAGATAAATTAAATGTTAATAACTATATATTTTAATAATTATCAATTACCTATGTTCAAAGCATATATTGTTAAAATAAAATTATATGAGATTTTTGTTTATCAAAAAAAGATTATATGAAATTTTATGAACTTGTCTATTTTATGAGAATTTTCAATTTAATAATTAGATTTATGTCAACTATTGCCAAAAGTTATTTAATGAAGTGTGTCAAGATGGTACTCACCTTCTTACTCCCTTGATTCATTAACAATTATTATATTCATTTGATTCTTTAAAATGCATCTTCAGTTTTAGAAGATCTAAACTTGATACTGTTATAATAATTGCATACAAACCATTTTAAAATAAGATATTTGTGTACATTTTTATATGAAGTATATTCTCGATTCATTTAATGGGTTTCACCGGACATGAAGAATGAGTTTTATCATTATCGGTAAATTTTTCTATAAATAAAGAGTTAAGCTGTGATATAACTCTGTTTAAGCCCTAGTCTCTCTAACTATTATTGTGTTGTGCTCACGCACACTCTTTTGACTCTCTGCTTATTGTTTGTGCACAATAATTAGTTAGAGAGACTAGGGCTTAAACAGAGTTATATCACAGCTTAGTCAATAAATAAATTACGATCCAGCAGGATCAAACAGAGTATAAGACTAAATTTTTATCATTACTAATAATAATAATAAATAAAAATGAGGCTGTTGATCAAGATATATTCTTCTATAAATCAGTTACTCCCATGTTAAGAAGAGTAGGACAATATAATTATAGGTATTAGGTACATTATACCTTAATGGTTAACTGCCATACATAATTGAAAATTAACTACCAAATTTAATAATACATTAATAGTAATTGATTAGCTTAGTACGCTCTTTGCTAAATTGGCAAATGCATATGTCGTCAATAAGTAATAAAGTATCATCTCACAAGGTTATATAATTACCAAATTACAATAATTTAAATTATTCATCAAGTTCAAATCATAAATTTTAAAATATTATATATATTTTATCTCTGGATCTTTCACCTAAGACATACCTCATTTATTCAGAACACAAGGACTGTATCAATATTTAATCATTAAGAATAATAACGCGTATATTAAGGCAAATTTATAGGCATATTACGACTATAATTGCGCATGATATAGAAATTTAAGCAACTGTAAAGATTTGGTTGTGTTTAAAACATTAAAATATGTA